GGGTGACCCAAACACTTGACCCCAGCCCCCCCAGTGACCCCAGCCCCCCCCGGTGACCCCCGCCCGCACCCGATGGCGGCCATGACGGTGAGGTACTGGTTGATCTGCAGCATGGCGGCGTCCAGCAGGGTGTGGATGTTGTGCAGGCTCTGCAGCCGAGCCTCCAGGTGCTGCCGCTCGTGGCCTTCCATGGCCCGCAGCTCCTCCTCCGTCAACCCCGCAAAGCCAGCGGGGGGAACCGGCATGGGGGGCAGCCCTGGGGGGGGTGGAGATTGGGGGGCTGCCGAAACGCTGTGGGGTTTGGGGCCGAGAGGAAACAGGACCAAAACCCCACAGCCTGACCCCAAAACCGCCCCCACTCACCAAAAACGGGTGGCCACGGCATCCCCATCCACGGGGGGGGCAGAGCAAAACCCGGAGCCGCGGCGCCATCCGAACCCGAAGCGCTGCCTTCCCCGGCTCTGGAAGTGGCTGCGGGGCCAAAGGGGCGTAAGAAGGGGACGGGGGAACACCGAGCCCGTAAGAGATGGGGAGGATGGGGCTGAGGCTCACCTGGAGCAGAGGCGGGGCTCTCGGGGCTGGGGGGTCCCTGAGCACCGGGGATGGGAGGGAACGGAGCCACGGGCGGCCACAGCGGGAACATCCCCGGGGGGAACGGGGGGAGCATCCCCTGCGGGACTGCAATGGGGTTGGGAGCGGGTCAGAGCCCCGGAGGGGTCCCAGAACCCCAAAGCCCCGTCCTACAGCTGGCAGAAATCCCATATCCAACACCAGGCAACAGCGGGAGGCGCTCAGCCTGGATACGGGTGGAAGCCCCGCTGCTTTGGGGCAGCCTAAAGAGAAACCCGTGTGGGTTTGTGGGGTCGGGCTGCTCACAGTTCTGGGGCTGAGCGCCCGGGGGGCTCTGAGGCGGCGCCGGGTTCGGCTCTGCAGCTTCGGGGGGCGGCTGAGGGGGCAGGGAGGCGCGGAGGACGTCCATGCGACACGTGGGGCACGTCTGCTGCCTCTGGAACCACGAGCGCAGGCAGCTGTGGGGAAACACAGGGAACCCATCATCCCCCCCTTATCAAAAACCCCGAAGGCGGCCCCAAAAGGGCGGCATTTCGCCCCAAACCTGGTGTGGAAGATGTGGTTGCAGGGCAGACGCTTCGCCCCCGTCACCATTTCCTCGCGGCAGATGATGCAGACGTTGTCCATGGACTGCAGCTCCTCCGGGGTGGCATCGGGGTACCTATGGGGTTACAGTGGGGTTAGAAGGCAAAATCCCCCCAAACCCGCCCCAAAATCCCACAGGGATAACGAGAGGACACCCCTAAGACCTCCTCCCCTCGCGTCCATCCATCATCTTCTGGCTCAAAACCCACTTCTGCGAGGATATCCACAACCTCTGCGTCCCCACAAGGTCGTCCCAATCCCTTTTTTAGGGCAAAATTGAGCCGCTCTCCCCCAAATTTGGACCAAACTCACCTCGAGTTGGATCCCACCCCTCATAAGAGCCCAACAAAGCCAGCAGAACGTTCCCTCCTCACTGCATCCCAGCATTTTTTTGGCTTTAAATTCAACTTCCGGTCAGATTTCCGGATACCCGCAACCCTTTTCTCTACCCCATGGGATCAACCCGACCCCTTTTTAGGGCAAAAACGATCCGTTCTCTCCCCCCTTCCCCCAGTTTTACCCAAGCTGACGTTGGCTTGGATCCCGCCCCACAAGGAGCCCCAATCCCAGACCCCAAAAGGAGGCAGCAGTGCCGCAGCCCCACTCACAGCGTGTTCATATTGCGGATGGCGCGGCGCGACATGATGGCATCCGTCACTGCCTTCTTGAACTGCCTGCAAGGGAACGGGATCCGCTGGGGCTGGGGAGCGGGGATCTGTCATGGTCAGGGATCAGCTGGGTTGGGGGTTGGGATCCACTGGGGTCAGAATCCATTAGGGTTAGGATTGGGGATCCGTTGGGGCCAGGGATCCATCAGGGTCAGGGATCCATTGGGGATTCATTGGGGTCGGGGATCCATTAGGGTTGGAAATCTTTTAGGGATCCATGGGGTTGGGATTTGGGATCTGTTGGGGATCTGCTGGGGTCGGGGATCCGTTGGGGTCGGGATTGTGGCGCCAACGCAGCCCCAAAGCCGACTCACCTCATGGCCAGGTACATGGGGCGGATGGCGAAGAGGGGAAAGGTGTGGACTTTGATCATGATGGTCATGAAGGCCATGTAGAGGATGACCTTGATGAAGCCTAGGGGCAAAAACACGTTGGGTGGGACGGGGGCTCAGGGGGTCCCAAAATGTCCTTTTGTGGGACAGGGATGCGTGATGTTGGGCTGGGGTCCACCAAACCCCAAATCCTCAACACGGGGGGTGACCACAACCCCAAATCCCAAAAGCTGTGATTGTGAACCCCAAACATCTCTTCTTGACCCCCTCTTCCCATTGTCCAACCTGGTGGGATTCTGTCCAGAACTGGAAAACGCTCTATGGATCCTTAACACTGACTCAATCCCATAGAATTTAACCCCAAGGAAGCAGACATAACCCCAAATGCAGTCATATTACCTCACTCCCGTTGGGTTGAGGCCCTCAGAGGAAGAACAGACCCCAAAAACGCCCAAAAAGGGGAGGGGAGGAGGGCAGGCCGCATACCGGTGAAGAGCTCCGTGTACAGCATGTAGACGGCCTTGCTGTCCCACGGGTTCTCGTTCTGCAGGTCGATGGAGTGCAGCACGTACTTGATGAAGATGGTGAGCACCATGGTCATCAGGATGGCGTACTGCGGGGGGACACGGCGCTGTCTGTCTGTCCTGCGCGGGGCCGTCTGTCCCCTGCAGGAGCCGGCCGTACCTCGAAGCCGAACACCAGCTGCACCGAGGCGCCGCGGCTCAGGATGCTGTGATACGCGTGGCTGACGAAGAGGAAATCCAGCACGGCCAGCAGGAGCATGAGGGCTGGGGAGGGAAAAGGCGCTGGGGGGCGGCGCGGAGCTCAGCATGGGGGGAGAGAGCCTCAAACACAAACTCTGACCCGTCTGGGTTGGATGCGGGCCCTAAGAGCTGGAAAACCCTTCAACCCCGGAATTCAGAGCCACTGCGGGGCGCGTGGCTGCCAAGAAAGGCTGAAATCCAGGCATTTAGACCTGTTTTGGTGGGATGCAGCTCCTGAGAGATGGAAAAAAACCTTCGATTCCGGGCTTTCGACCCATTCCTGTGGGTTAATGCCCCTAAAGGGTGGGAAAAACCTTCAATGCTGGACTTTTCCCCCATTCCTGGGGATACAACCCCTAAAGGAGGGGAAAAAAAAAAATCACTAAATCCAGGAATTCTGCTCCTCAGTGGGACGTAGCAGCTGAGAGGGGCAGAAAAGCCCCAAATCCAGGAATTCCGACCAGTTCCGGTGGGATACGGCCCCTCAGGGGTGCCAAGAAACCCTAAATCCAGGAATTTTGACCCCTTTTGGCTGGATATAGCCGCCACGAGATGAAAAACGCCTTAAACCCAGGTATTTACACCCGTTCTAGAGGAATGTAACCCCAACAAGTGGAAAAAACCCTTAAATCCAAGATTTTTGCCCCATTCCTGAGTTGAAGCCCCTAAGAGGAGAAATTAAAATGCAACAAATTTCCCCATCCTCCAAACACTGAGGATCCCAAATCTGGATCAAACTGCTAAAATCCAACAGAACTGAATTTGGGGTCACAGTCAGCCCCCAAAGCTCGTTAACCCCCTACAACCCCGCTCATTAAGCACCGAGCGCTCATTAGAATAACGAACCCGTGAGCTTATCAGCCCCACCAGCCCCACGCCTGGCTGCCCCATGCAAATCCAGCCCCAAATTATCTCTGCCGTCCAGCTGGGGCCGCACAACAAACCCCAAACCCACGCTGCGAGGGGAAGGATGCGGCCCCGGTGCTTATTATGGGATGGGGCCCCGGAGCTTCAACTCACAGATGATGCGGAAATGGAAGAGCCAGGAGATGTTGGGGCTCCTCTCCATCTGTAAAAAGGGGAGGGGGCAAAAAGGTGAAGCCCGGCCCCCCAAAAGGAGCCCTTCCAGGGCTTTTTAGGGGCTGGTTTCAGCGCTCACGAAATCCACGCGGTCGTCGGCCAGCCAGTGGAAGCACTTGAGGAAGAGCAGCAGGGTGAAGAGGGCCACGAAGCGGGGGCTGAAGTCGTCGCGGAAGACGGTGAAGGCCAGGCAGGTCTCGGTGACGGCGTACCAGGAGCGCTCCATCAGGTGCTGGGGAGCCCCAAACCCCGTCAGCCCCCAGCACCCCACAGTTCCATCCACCGCCCCTCGGAGGTGAAACGAACCCCAAAATGCAGAACGTGGCCCCGGGTCGGCGGGATTTGGCCCTTGGGAGTTGGGAAATGCTCTCAAGATCCTCAACCTTGACTTGACCCCACCGAGTTGAACCCCAGACCACAGCAAAAAAGGCCCTCAGTGCTGCAGTTCCCACTTATCCTCGTAGATTTCAGGTGCTTAGAAGTGAAATAAACCCTGAAATCCACACTGCTGTTCCTTCCCTACAGAATTCAGCTGCTCAAAGGCACAGAAAGGCCTTCAATTTATAGTGTGCTCCCAGCCCTGGGGAGTTCAGCCCCTCAAGGAACAGAAAATGCGTCCTAAACCCCAAAATCTCCCTTTTATCCCCCAAATCCCCCCCATTTCTGCTCACCTCCATCTCAGCTGCACGCAGCTGCCCAAAGAACACCTTGCCCATGAATTTCCCCAGCAGGAACACCAACACGAAGGCCTGGATGTACAAAACCTGCAGGGAGAGACCCTCAAAGAACCCGAATCTGGGGCCGGAGGGGGGCGAGAGCCCCCAGCCTCATTTTGGGGCTCCCTATGGGGCAGATGAGTGCCTTCGTGGCCGCTTTTGGGTGCAAAATGAGGCTTTTTGGGTGTCAGAAAGCAGAAGTGAAGCCCAGCGTGATGGGAGGCGGTGCTGAGAGGGGTGGTTAATTGCTCATTAAGCATAACGAGGCTGTTAGGAAACACTGCAGGTGGAGGAAGGGGAAAAAAAGGCAACGCTGGCCTTGGCTCCCACGAAAACCCAATTGAAGAGCAGTTGGGGAAACCCCTGGCGGCCTCCTGTCCCAAAAAGCTGAAGCCAAACAGGGAGCTGGGGGGCGGCCGTCGGGCGGTACTCACAGCCATGCTGGGGCTGGATTTGGTGAGGTACACCACGGTGGGGTAGAACTGGTGCTTCAGGTAATAGGCGTGGGCCACCACGGCCGTGGTCAGAGCCAGGCTGCCCAGCATCACCACCGCCGTGCACAGCATCGTCATGGCACGGCCTCCTGGAGGGGGAAAGGGGGGTCAGAGGGGGAAAACTGGTGGGGGAGAGAAAAATGGGGGTAAAACGGGGGGGGAAGAGATTGGGAGGGAGAAAGTAGGGTGAGAGAGGGAAAATAGGGGAGAGGGATGGCAAGACTGGGGTAAGAAAGAGGGCAAGAGGGCCAAACTCAGGTAAAAAAAGATGGGTTATGGCAGCAGAAAGAGCCAAGAAAGGGGGGGAGAGGAAGAAGCTGGGGTAAAAATGGGCTGACAGGCACAAACTGGGGCTGAAAAAGGGGTGGGAGGATCAAAAAGAGCCAAAAAAGGGGTGAGAGCACCAGAATGGGGCAGAAAGGGAGGTGAGAGGGCCAAACTGGGGCAGAGAAAGGGAATTATAGCACCAAAAAGAGCCAAGTTAAAGGGGGAAAGGGTCAAAGTGGGGCAGAAAGGGGGGTGAGAGGATAAAAAATAGCCAAAAAAGGAGGCGAGATGGACAAACTGGGGCAGGAATTATGGCATCAAAGTGAAGCAAAAAAGAAACAGAGACAAAAGCAGAGGCCTAAGAGAACCAAAATATACCAAGAAAAGAGAATGATAACATTGAAATGAACCAAAGAAGTGAGAAACCAAAGTGTTGTATCACAGCAGAAAAGAGTTAAAGCATCAAAATGAGACCAAAAACGGAGCTGCAGGGCCACAGCGGGCAGGAAAAAAAGAAAGATTTAGAGCCAAACCGAGCAGAAAAATTGCATTATAGTGGGACAAAAAACAACACGGCAACACGGCCCCAAACTTGGGGTGAAACAGCGCCTCTGCGGTTAAACACGGAGTGATTTTCCCCCTGGATTCACCAAATCCCACTGGCTGACCCCAAATCTGAGCCTCATTCGGTCGCCCCATCCTC